AACCAGTGTAACCATGTTTGTACAGTTAATCGTTTATTTATATTCCACTACATAAAATTGTATGTTCCCTACTATAATATAGATTTGGCACCAGCGAGATTCGAAAACCAACTGTTCAGTCAAAACCTAAACAGTTAGCCCATTCGCTAGCGAGTTTGCAAATCGGCTGCCCCAATACTTGTGAGGCTTGCTGTAATATTTTGAACATGTTATTTATTTAAAATTAAATGTAATATTAAAGAAGGATGTTATGGCAGGGAATGTGACAAACAAATGTTTTTAAAAGCAAACTAATTGAGACATATTGAAATGCAGCAACACTATCGCTTTCGAAACAAAAAACATTAAGTAGAAGTGTTCACAATAATCAGTCATGGGTTATCATTCTGACATTATTTGACAAAAAACCTATAAAAATGGTTTAGAGTTGTAGCTAAGTGCTTTTCAATGAAGAAATATATTACTGGCAGTTAGGCATTATTAAGAGCTAGACATATTGTCAAAAAGAAACAAATCAATAAATTATACTAATCACTAGTTGTATTATTTCCTGTGTATTGAACTTATTTAGTCAGCCAACTACAAATTAATACTTAGTGTAGAGCAGCAACTACATGCTAGGTATCACAATAAGCCACCTGCTTGAAAAGTGGACTATTTTTAGCAACACTGTACAAGCACAAAATTTCCTTATTAAATTTGAATGAGCTAATTTTTTTATGTCGTAGTCAAAGAGTGGACAACTTATAACACATGGAAGACCAATATATTTGAATTGTGTTATACTTCCACACTCCACAATACCATATAAAAAATAATAATTCACAAAAACACAAATCTATATGCATCATTAGTTGAGTATTGATTAGTCATATCAATCATCATTTAGACTATTTGTATATTTGTTGGATGGAATTGGTCTGTTGTAGTGACATGCTTAGATGAATGAATTCCTTGTAATGTACAACCACAAGGAGCCCAGAATCCAGACCGGGTCATGAATCAGTTAGATTTTGATTGGTGCATGACAAATTGTAAGTAAACCATAACTCCAGCCCAACTGTGCCTGTAAAACTATACACATCGTTTATATAATAAATGCTAACTTTTCTTGATCTATTCTATAAACTGGTATTTTTTAATTAAATTTTAATTTTCTTTCATATATTTTTTCCAGTTTAAAAAAAGTGCAATCACTAGAGCCTTCATCCCTTGTCCATTTTCATATAGTAGATACCAGCCAATACCATGCCAACCCCATTCAGTCTATACAGTTATTATACCTGGGCTCCCTATTGTTGAAACTAAGAAGCACAACACAGGCACATACTACAGTCTATTAGAATTACATCTTCAACAGAGGCACACGCACATTAAGACAACAGTCTATTAGAAGCACATCTTCAACAGAGGCACACACACATTAAGACAACAGTCTATTAGAAGCACATCTTCAACAGAGGCACACACACATTAAGACAACAGTCTATTAGAAGCACATCTTCAACAGAGGCACACGCACATTAAGACAA